CAAGGAATTAAAAAAATACAAATCATGGTTAGTTATTCAACATGATAATATTTTAATATTCCACCTCACTGTGTCATTAGTGAACTGTAAAAATTACGCTAATAAACTTTGATAAAACAAATTACACTGCCTGAAATTAATTGGAACGAACTAGACCTAAGTTGTTTGTTCTAAAAGCAAATTTTAAAATGAAAACTAAAGAAGAGAAACATTTATCCAGTTGTTGAGAGCTTTTAGCCAATTACCATTACTATACTAGGACGAAAAGATCAACCAGTGCTTTTAGGTTTTTAATGGTAGTCTAACATGATTTCAAAAGAAACTTATTCTTCTTCACAAAACTATATACTGATGGTTAGCACTATGTTTAAAATGGTCAATCATCAACCTATATTTCATACCACTGTTCGAATTATTTTTTTCAACTGTCACATGATAACATATATGCTTTATTGACATTTATTCTCGTGTAAACGAGTTATTTAATGTGTTAGTTTTTCAAACATTTTATACTATCCTACTATGATGTATACTACTGATGGCGCCGGATATAAGTAGTGTGTATCGCCATTCGAGAGTGGAATGCCTATTGGCAGAAGCTTAAGAAAATCGAAGAAAAAAAATAGAATAGAATGTGATTGGTATGAAAACGAAGGAACAATCAAGTCTAAGACAATTGGTTGACATTTTGCAAATGAATTACTTAGTAAATTGATCTCCGATTTTACCAATATACTCTGTAATGTTAATTCTTATGGATTGTTCGTGATATTTGGATAGTTATGATTTTTCGGAATTCATGAACAAGAGAGATGTATTGTTTATCAGCATTATCATTATCTTCAAATAAATAAGAGTAGCCTGGTAATTTAGGTCTTCCAACTTATTTAAATTAGATATATTAATGATAAGAATGAATTTTGCTTTGGCCGTCGGAAAGTGTAATTTGTTCTGAATTCATTTTCAATACAACTTTGAGAACTACTACATGATCTCAATAAAAAACTTAATAATCTCCACAACCCCTATACTGACAATGCGAATAGACATTCAAAAATGAAATATATGTATTACATTTTATTGCCCTAATATAATAGGGAACGTTTGTTGACTGAGTGGCTGATCTTAGCATTGTAATGCCTTTTAATATAAATGCATATATATATATATATAAACAGCTAAAATGACTTGTATTACGGCTTAAGTTTCCTTGGTCTGATATATCAATCTAAATGCATTTCTGAGTCGTCTGGTATAAATTTCGTTTTGTTGCGAATAAAGGAATGTTATAAGTATCTTTCTTAAAAATATGACACATAAATACAGGATTTTTTTATAACATAGTTAGGCTTGATAAACCTTGAATAGTTAGTGCTGAATATATACTTCAATTGACCTGTATATTCAATAGGACTGCGAGCTTATTAATTAGAATGAATTCAAGGGACTTTGAGTATGAGAAGTAACAATCACATTTCAATTGATAATAATTTAGTCAGATAAATTTATGTTTTGATAAATAGTGGGGAAAACGACATGTACATTGAATAAATTTTGCTTTATTGAACCTGAGGCTGTCAGTAAGAACGGTTTGAGAATATTTCTATTGAATCCATCGCTCCAGTATTTTAGTCCTTTTCGTTATTACATTTAGTGTTTGAAGTGAGTTCAAGTTTGATCACTCTTGTTAGATCTTGAATAATCCAGGATGAATGTCTTGAGCTGTCAAAAAATATCTTGCCGTTTTATATTAGCTATCTAATCTAATTATTAATTCAAGTTCATTACCAGCTGAAGACTTAATCGAAAAAAAACTGCTAACTGTTCACAATATTTATATTTTGATATGATGTGAATTTTTAAACAACTGATAAAAACTATCAAAAACTACTATTGTAGCGAATGAGAGCACAGGTAGGAACAACCAAATCTGTTTTAACACATCATTATTGAATATCTTGATAAAACCTGAGATTCATAAAGTAAACATTTCATTTACAAAATATCAACCAATTGCCTCAGATTTGATTGTCTCTTCGTTTCCATACCAATCACTTTCTGTTCTCGTTCTCTTTTCTTTAATCTTTTTAACCATGTACCGCCACGTATTTCACTTTCGTTAGGTGATACATACTACTTATATCTGTCGATATCAGTAACAAACACCACACTATGATCATTCCTGAAACAAATACCTAAATATAATTTATACTGATTATTAATAAATTAATTTTTTTTTTTTTTGGGGGGGGGGTAAACATTATTTTTATAAATATTATCGTTTATATCTACAAACTAAATCTTAAACTAATTTCAATGGTTAAGATCATGAGTCAATTGAAGCTAGACCATCATGGAAAACCTGAAAGCACTGGATGGCCATTTCATCCTATTGTGGAACACTTCAACAGTGCGTATCCACGATTACGCCTCATGAGATATCGAACCCAAAACTTATCAGTTTCGCGCGCAAGTGCTTAACCACTAGATCACTGACTCATGATCTTAACCATTAAATTTACTACAATCTCTACCAAAATCCCTTCTCATACTAAAACGAATTGTTCATCCAAACTAAATTTATAAATGAAAAATAAAAATTTATTCAATTTAATTGTTTATTCATTTAAAATTATTTTCTTTTAATTCCATTTCATCTTTTTATAAAACAATAATTTCATAATAAAAACAAAAACTAAAACAGTAATTTATTATGATCATTGCCAAGATTTGGCTGGATTAGTTGAATACAAATAATCTAATTGATAAGATGATAATGACGTAAGCATTGAGAAAAAAAATCGATTTGTTTTCTATTTATTGATTTCTACTATAAGAAAATTAGTTTCTTTTTCTTTCTTTCTTTTTTTTTAAAATTACAGTTGTAATCTTGAATTAATGATTTGATAGTTGTAACAAAATGAGAGAAAATGTATTTTTGGTTTTTATTTATTACCTTTATATTCAGATACTATAACCTACATTGTATGACAATTAATAAATTAAGAATCAATATACATTCATGTGTACTAAATACTGATGATTCTTTTTTTGTATGATGTATGGTGTACAGGATAAAAAAGGTGTTGTAGTGGCTGTATTTCGTTGACCAATCACCCTCGTAACCGTTATCATATAATCCCTCAACGGTGTTTGAAATCTGAAGGCAAAGAGAAGCAGCAACTACAGGTTTATTAGCAGATAACTCAGAACAAAAAGCAGAGAGGCATATGAGTGAGTCAGCGAATCAAAAGAATAGAGGGTGTAGGTTTAAATATATATATATATATATATATATATATATATATATATATATATATATATATATATATATATATATATATAGGGAAATAAATGGATCATCGAATCAATTAAGCGGTTAATGATAAGGCTAGCTGAATGAATATATACGTAGGCGGTAAAGCAATGTTCAAGCATACATATTTCATACAAGGACAACAATAATAAAGGTACAAGAAGTTGTTATAGTTCGGATGACTCTGTCCGCTGAATGGGTTAACAAAATGGCTTGACCGAATTAAATGAGAACAAACTCGATTGAGCGTGAGGTGTTTGTGACGAAACTAAATGAATGTGCTCTTTCGAATAAGCTTTCTTTAAAATCCTAGATATATTTTATAAGTAGTTATGTTTGGTTGTTAACGAAACGTTTCACAATGGTTAGATGTTATTTAACTTGTTTTATGAAATTTAAATAGATGAAATTAAAGATAGTTCCTCATGCAAGCTGATAACATCAGGTGAATTATTTAAAATAAGGGAGAACATATAGTACCATGATCGTACTTTACGATTCTATAGGAGGACACATCAATGGTCCTACATAGGGTCAAACGTAAAACGCTCACTTATTGTTGTGAATAAGCTATCTCAAACAAGAGAATTTATATCTACTAGTTCGAAATTCTGGTTCCTTTAATTTTACTGACTCTTCACTAATTCTCAGTATATAACAAAAATTATATTTAAATCAAACTTATGTCCAAAAACTATACAATCAAACTATTCAAGCTAAGTTTTGTTATTTAAAACTTGCAGTCAACTGGTAGGTTGAACATTTCCTCTGTCATATATTTATGGCTATTAGTTTTTAATTTCTAATTAAAGATTCGTAATACTTCATCATTGTAACCAATCTAATATTTCGGTTGGCACTGAATTAAACCTGTACGTAAAACTAATTAATCGAACATATATTTGATAGTTTAATTCGAATGCATCTCAATCGATTTAAAAGCCTTTTAACACTGTTTAACTCTTATATTTTCTAATGAATGAACATAAACTTTAATAGTTTACTTGGTGGTTATGTTAGTACGCAGTGTAAAACTGTTTTGGTATGTGCTACTAATGTCGATAGATATAAGTAATATGTTTTATCAATCGAAAATGAAATACTTGAATGTAGAAGATTAAGAAGATCCAAGTGAAGAGAACGAGAATAGAAAGTGATTGATGTAAAAAAGAAGAATCAGTCAAGTTTGGGACAGTTGATTTACATTTAACAAATGAAGTATTTACTGTACGGTTCTCAGATTTTACTAAGAGATTCTGTAATTTCGTGTTCAAGTATATTCGATTGTCCCCAATTGTGTTCTTGTTCACTACACTGCTATTTTACAACATTATATATACAAAAAGGGTTTTGGATTTAAAAATACAGTATATACATAAATAAATTAGTTAACCTTATTTACAAAAATTCTATTGAATGAAGTAGCTATGGTTTATACTTACATTTTAAATGTCAATTAAAATCAATATTTTACTTTAGCGCAATTTCGATTGCAACCAAGGAAAGAGTTCGATGGCGAATCCTGGTGAGGAGCTTATGCTACTCAACGAGGGGTAATAGGCGTAAGTAATTTTAGTGCTAGCACTGAATTGATCATAATTGAAAATCCCTTTCTCTTCTACTAATTTTCACACAAAAAGTGATCGTTGAATTATAAATTTCTTTCTTTCTTTTATTTAAATAGAAATCTTGGCAGCACTGGACTTCGGGTATCTGTACTTAGTTTAGGTAAGTGTTTGTTTATTTTGATATAATTTTATGTTAATAAGTTAGTATAATATTAGTACTGTGTTTTGGCAATTAAAAGGTTATAAACCTCTGTAGCTTGTAGCTTTTTTATTTAGTATTCAGTACACTTCTATTCCCATACCTCACTAATTTGTTTAAAAAATAGAGCAAATACATGAGAAATTAGGTACCAGAATAATTTAGATAAATAATCCTTTTCATCATGGGGGTTTATGGACATTGTTACTTGTTATTGAGATTGAAGATCGACCTTCATTAGACAATCACTGAATCTAGCAATTGTTGTATAGCTGTTTCACGAAACATGAAATTATAAATGCTCACAAATGGATAGCCCTATATCAGAACGAACTATCCAGGGCTTCTTGGTTTCAATGGTTATCAAACTTTCGTCATTTTGTGGTCACAGTGAACTAGGCAATAGTTGAATTAAATGTGGTCTGTAATATTTAATTTTAAAAAGCAAATAATAATAGTTTAATTGTCAGATTAAAGGCAGATAGTTTATAATAATAATAATGATCAGATTTTAATAAATGAAATAATTCAATGTAAAACTCCAATATCAGGAAAGAAAGTATACGAACACTGAGTTATCATTTAGTTAGAATTTAAATCTCTTCATCAGTGTGTGGTCACCACTGTTCACAGTGTTATCTTCATAAATTACAGAAAACATAATTTCACAGTTGGAATTAGATGATCCATGTTTATAATTTCATGAAATGAAGTATTCATCTGAACTTCACTTGTTAATAAACTGTTGCATTTCTGACTTGTTGACATTACAGATGTTAACATCACTCATAGTAAGTATTTAATTAGTATGTCTTAATTAATATATACCAGTCAAATTTTATATGAATGTGGATACAATAAACAGGATAATTTTTAATGTAGAATGTGATAGATGATAGAATAACATGTTCATTTGAGGTGACATAAGAATAATATAAACACTGACATAAAGTCTAGCATACTAATTTATTGTAACAAAATAAAGTTACTAAGCGAAATCCGATTATAAACAACTTTACCTATTTGATCATATTGACTCAGTAGCCTTGATAATAGTTGGATATATACCTGTTTTATACGAACTATGTATCTGACTTTAATACATAGAATATATAAATATCTATGTGCATTTATATACTTTTTTTTCTATTACTGATCTCGAAGACCTACAGAGAATCGAAATTCAGTTAATCGTAAACTGCAGAACTAATCTTTCTCAGCTAATATCCATGATTTTAAAAATTTGTTTTTGGAATCGCAAAAGTATCATTAAGGTGTGTCTTTCAAACACGTTTGGATTTCATATTTAAGATTATCCTTGCTTTTTATTTATTTTAACACATAGATATTGGTACAAGGAGACAGCAAATACATATGAGCCACACAAATCTCATTTGATATGTGAAAGGGCTGTGATACTGCCCGGGTGCCCAAACCGAAGCAGGTGGTTTTCTTAGAAGACCACACCCTGAGACTTCGACCTGAAAGTCTGCTCCACAAAGCAGTGGAGCATCGTGAGGAGATGCATTCCCATGGTAGCCGGTCACCAACGATCGGTTCATACGCCATTCGTTCCTTCAGGATACTGGAGCCCATGTGCAACATTGGTTTAGAATCAGGGATCAACCCCCCTAGGTGGACTCTCCATGTCCACCAGCCCGGTTGAAGTGCCGGACATTCGCTTTTCGTCTTCTCCATTTCGTAAACAACAGTAATGCCACGAGAAGGCAGTGAGTAGAACTTCGTTGACAGAGGCTATATACGCGTGGCCATATAAGGGCATTTCGACAGAGAGAACGGACTCTCCGCACTCTCGGCCGTGCCAGAGCATTTTTGGGCTTTAAGCCACTGCATAACTTTTGTGGCTTTCATAGAAGTTATTATATCATTTATACTGATTTAAAAAGCAAACTAAATGTTGGTTGAACGGTTTAAATTTATGAACTTCACTGCTTTCAGGATGGTTATTTTATTCTTATCATCATTAATAATAATATTATTATTAGTGTCTTTTTTAGAGTTATATTTTTGATACAATATAGAATTCGACAAGTTTCCTTTTTTTACTTGTTGATCGACCCTTGCGGTAAATATTGAGTGATCGCCAGTCAGATGTTAGTAGTTAAGGAATCGACATCTCAAAAATATTTATTCTTTTCGATTCATATTGCCAGCAACCACGATATCTCTGATTGGGATATTTTTAACTTGTACAGTAAAATGTCGTAAACTTCTCACAAACGCACCTGAATAGGTTATGTGACTAATAGGCATAATGATGTGTTAAAACAAATAAGAAAACAGATAGGTTGTTGAGATATCCAAATGTCAGGAACAAATAGCTCAGATATTCAAGCAGATTGCCTTGTTTACTATTCTGTGATCAATTTTTCATAAGCAATATCTAATTAGATTCTAATTAGAGTTAGATCAATTAATGTAAAAACAAACTATACCATTTATGATATTGGCTATTTGAAAAGTTTATTTCTAAAATGAAACTGATCCATTTCTATTTATAATTTGCTAAGGATTTATTTTCCAGACTTGATTGAATGAATTTTGCTTTCTTGATATTCATGATGGATTTCATGAACTTGATTATACTTCTATCTAACTTTCATTATAGTCAGAATGAGTTGTTGTTTTTTGTGATTGCTGTTTTTCTTTTCTTTTTGATAATCATATTCTTGCATAAATATACCGTATGTTTACATTTGTAAACAGAAGAATTTTAATAAATTCTTTTTCGTCTTTATAGTAGGACAGAAGTATATACAGATAAAAGAAGTTATACTTTAGTCTTTCATTATCAAATTCTATAAAAGACATAATACTGTAATGGAAATAATAAGTTATTTTGTATACGGACTAATTAGTATCAATTTTAGTAGGTTAGATAAGATTAAAGTTTAATCAATCTGTATGTAAACAATTAGCAAGAACATATTAGGTACACAAAGAAACCTCCTAACAATCCTGTAGAATTGGATCAACTTCAAATTAAATCGGCAATAGCAGTTCATGCTATTTTCAACAACCACCGAATGGATTTTAAAAATATCAAAATATTGCCAAAAGGCTTTTCCAATTACAAAGAAAGGAGAGTAGCTGAAGCGTTCCATATAATGCTTAGTCCTACTTCTTGCAATCGAAAAGAAGGCCTTACCATACATCCTACTTGGACTACCTATCCTAGCCATTCAGTCTGATCGTATTTACAATTCACACTACCATATAACAAATTAAACTCTATCCTTTCTCACCATAAAGGTCACACAATTTTTTCGTTCTTAAACAATGCATACATACATATCACTTATGAATCACCTTGACAGAAATGACATGACATTAACTTGTTCAGACCTGTTTTTGATTGATCAAATATTATTCTTATTGTTACCTTGTACTATTTAATTTTGGATTAATTTTAATTTGGTTATTTATTCTCTGAAGAAGTGACTTACACTAAGTGACGAAACGTCAGAAAATCTAATTTTCTACTCATTGGGATATTCAAAAACGAAGAATATTTGAGCGAACAATTGTTTTCAATAACTTCATCATCAGGCTCTACAGTTATAAGTCCATAATTATAATATTTTACAAAAGCCAAAAATAAGGCATGTATTAATGCATTTGACAATGTTATGTGTTAAAAATGGTGAACGTTTGCATCTGTTACGATATATATATATATATATATATATATATATATATATATATATATATATATATATATATATATATTGTAATATTTGCAAATTAGAAAGGTCATTCAATATATATATATATCGTAACAGATGCAAACGTTCACCATTTTTAACACATAACATTGTCAAATGCATTAATACATGCCTTATTTTTGGCTTTTGTAAAATATTATAATTATGGACTTATAACTGTAGAGCCTGATGATGAAGTTACTGAAAACAATTGTTCGCTCAAATATTCTTCGTTTTTGAATATTCTATGGGGATTTTTAAACTGCTCATTGGGATATTACAAATATATTATTTACTTATAATTAGCAAAGAGTTTAAGTCATGAAAACCGCTTACTTTGCGTTATAACTAATAATCATGTGTAATAATTATTCATCTTAATGATCAAACATACTACTTTTTAAATCAGTATTGAATAATATGGTACCATGTTTTTTTAACGTATTGTCATGAATCAGTCAAACGTGAAAGTGTAAGTAGTAGAGTGTTTGTTTGTTTATAGAAAATAGGAAATATACATACATTTCATGATTTGTTAAATAACAGTTTTTGATTACCTGAATCGCTAAAATCTGTCAAGAATAAGACTTTTTTCAATGTTAGTTATGTTTTCATTTTAATTAGCTTAATTCACTAACGAAGATTTGGAGTTAAGAGAATTCATTGTAACAAGCCATAAAACTCATGATTTGTTATTTATATTTCGTCTGAGATTCGTTAGTTGAATGAACATGAATTTCATTGAGTGTTAATGTTTCTTATCTAAGATTCAAACCAGTGAGGTATCAATCAAATCCAAGATGATCATGACAAATATAGATGACGTACATACTAAAATAGATTAACTTTTTCAATTCTAGAAATATCGATTAAAAAATTAAATGTTGATAACACACAGTATCATCATTAAGTTATTTAAACTTCTTAACTTATATAATTTCTAATCAAAGAGTGTAATAAAACACAAGACGAATAAGAGTCAAAATGTATTTCACAGCACCTTTCTTCAGGGTTGATATTCTACGTTACTTTAAACACACGATCCTGTACAAAAGAACATGAAATTTTATAGACACTAGTTTATATTATAAGATCGTCATCTATCAGTCTCCTTCTTTCACCATGTTATTTTCGCTGAAATCATTTTAATCTTTTTGAATGATATGCGATTTTCGTCAAAAGGAATTTATTGTCCTATAATCATTCTTACTAGTTTATAGATAAAAGTAGGTCAACCCTTTGTCCTACAATCGCACGAAACCGCTACGTATCGAAAGTGTGAACCCTTTCTAGCGGGAAGCTTCTGTAGTGACCTACTTTTATCAAGAGAACGCGATTGGTGTAGTGGAAACTATTATTATTATGACCAATTGTACCAGCGATTTTTTTTTACCGTACTTGTTTGTTTAACTGTACCAAAATACATACATTCTTCCACTGATTGTGGCCTTGCACAAATTCTGTTACGCTCAGTAACCACATTTGTAACCCGGCATGATCTCGGTATTTTTTCGATATCACGAGATCGCTAACAACCACATCTCGACTACAGCCATTAACTCTCTCCTGATATTTGGCTTACAGGGGATCTTATAGGTTAACTGGCACGTAGTCTTCCTGTAATGATGATCATAGTCAACCGCGACTCGACGCCACAATACATTAGCAGATTCAGTTTTTAGGCTTAATTAAGGTGTAATAAAAAATGGATTTGATATAACTATATAGATTGAAAGAGAACAATCAACATGATTTGAACCAAAGTTTACATGTGTAAACAAACAAGTAAATAAATTTGGTTAAAGTATATCTTATTACCAGGAATTTTCATGTCATTAAATTGCATTGTGTCATATTTCAACCCAATAGTTTTATTAGATCGTTTTCAGTATTAAAAATTAAATAAACTAGCGATTGATTTATAAGCTATCTGAACTCTGTAATGATTCTAAAGTTATTAGATCATGTATCTCTGATATTATATTAGTTACGTTATATGAATTTGTATAGGGTTTTGTTTCAGTATCTATGACTTTTCAACTCGAGGTTAGTGGAAAAAAAATTAGTCACAACTAGCAGAAGAATGTCGAGTATCTGATGTAATATCTTATGTTATATCATAAGTATTTTTTATATGAGATCGAACCAGAGGAGTGGTACTACAACCTGAAATCCTCTTTTGAATTACGTTTGGATGAAAATCAAGTAACGTTTTTATATGATTACAAAAATATCAGTTAAGAATCTGTGTTTTTTTGATGTAAATGTTATGTCTTGTCGATTGAACGCTACTTGTTATATCCTAGTGAAGATTACATTACGAGTAACTTCTGAGACCTATTAATGGACTAATATTATTTATAAATTCTGAAGGTATAAATATTCAGTAACTATATATCTATATTCCTCTTATTATAAGCTTCATTTTGACCTATAGATTGTTATTATACGATTTACTGTTCTTAAGTTATACTCAGTTCATTAATTACTGTCTCGCACGTTCACAGCCACTTTTTGGCTTTATTGTGTATGAATGTTATTTCCTATTTTATGGTGTGTTGCGGTCTGTTTGGTTGATATATAAACCCAGTATGTCTGAAATAAATGGTTCGGTTCGCATAGCGGAGGCTGTTGTTGGCATTAACTAGCTATCACATATAATAATATATACTCTGTATGTTTGAGTAGAAAACAGTTTATCGGTTTGATCAAATAGTTTACCATGATAGTAGATTATTATATGAATGTAGTTTAGAATCAGGTCTTTATGTTTAACGAAAACATTGAGAAAGATTTAGTTTTGTTTTCTTCCAACAGTTACAAAACAATGTCGAAATAAGCATCCATCATCCTCTATTGCCAAACACATAATCGAAACAAGTCATAAAACAGATCTTAACACAGCTTTTGTGGCGTTGTATAAAAGTGTAAAATGGCGTACACAATGATTTATTGAAGCCTTAGCCATACGAAAATTCAAACCTCCTTTGTGTATTTAAAACCAGTTTGTTCTTACCTTAAACCTACCCTGGTAATATTAGATTATTATCCAAAGCGACTAGATTTTAAATTGTTTTCATATTATTTCTTTATTATCCTTGTCTCCTCTTACCCTCCATTTCTAGTCTGGTTGACCCTTTATTTTTATATATAAATGATCTTAACAAGTATATATGTGATCAGATTGTCCGAAATGTATTGCGCTAATATATCACATTGTTCTGATAATTGTTGTCTTCTTATTACATTATCGAAATTCACCAAAAGTATTAATTGCTTTAAGTGTCAATATATTTTAAATTCATTTGGTGTTGTTCCACTTGTATCGTTCCATTGTTATTTAGGACAGCAATTGATCAGTCTCTTGTTGGCATATGTGTATCCTATGCGGATTGCCTCGATATAGCCTTGAGTCACAAGCTTTTTTTAACCAAAGATGGATCTTGGCTAGCAGTGGAATCCAGGACATGCGTTTCGTCCTCTTTGGAACAATGGAATGATACACATGAAACAACATCAAGTAAATTTAAACTTAACCCCATTGCACAAGCAGGTGGCTATCAGGACTCAGTAGCTAAGTGGATAACTCGTTGACGTTTAAAGCGGGCGGTACTGGGTTCGAGTCCCGGAGTGAACATCAACTCTGGGATACAGGTGCACCCTGTTGACGAGTCTCAAATAGGACGAAATGTGTCCTGGAATCCAATGTTAGTTACTATCCATTATGGTCAAATTATTTTGTCTATCATTCACTTAGTATTTCAAATGATTGTCTTTCATTTCTAATTGTTTTGTTTATATATAGAAAGACAAAACAGTCATTAGCTTATATCAATATATTTTCTTCATATTAACATAATTTATCCACTTAATTTCATTGTATTTTAATTCCAGGTACAGACGTGACTTTCGGTAATCAAATACCGGATGAAGTAGGTGTTTTTAGACAGTTTATTTAATAAGTTTATTTTGATGATGATCTCTTAGGAATACGGTTACATTTTGTTTATTGATTAATTTTTAACAACTTAGGTATAGTTGTAGTTTTTTTCTTTTGTGGGATTATGTTTTGGAAAACAATTGCAGGTTGTTAAGTCACAGTAGGATATCGTTCATAAATTCAAAAACTTATTATTATGCAATTATATATGCTAGTTATCACTCACAATCACTCACAACTACTCTTTCAATTTTTGTTGTGTTGTTGTAACCATCCAGTTTTGCATTATTTTGTAATTATAAGATATTGATAAAAGGATGGTGTAAGGGGTTATTGCCAAAGAAAAAAAATTTATTTTTGCATATTGATCAGAAAACTCGTTTCTTTTTTGTTTATGAGAGCATAAGACTATTAACTGAAGTTAAGTTTGAAGAAACTGATTAAGTTTATATTTTTATTACATTAATTTGTCTATTGATACATTAAATAGGCAAGCGAATGATAAAAGATTTCTTCAGTTAAAATCTTTAGTTTGATATGTATCCTAATAATTTTCAACAAATTTATACCAAGCAACGATGCGTAATTTCCATTAACTCGTTTGAGTTTAGTGTTGCATAACTTCTTTTAAATTATATGTCGGCATTTTAGATTACTTTAGAGAATTAACCAGAATATTTTATTAAGAGCTTATAATTACTTTTTAAACGATGCGACAAAACTGTGATAATAAGACCCTGAACAGATTTCCTAACCGTAATAAATCATGTTTTGTCGCATTGATTAGTTACTGTTTGTGTCAGATTATGTTAAAACATATTTAATCTTAAACATTGATTCTTAATTAACAAAGTAAGTTGGATATAGGAATTATACTTTAAACATGTATATTATAATTATTCCAAAAGTATCTATATACGTAGAAGATGAATTGTACTGAATCAAGAAGACAAATAAGAGGTTAGATTCTAAAGTAGCAGCAAAATCAATATTTTATGATTTAGATCAGCTTAGATATCAAATTCTCAGAACCCTTGAAATATATGATTAATTTGTGTTTAATAATTCAAGTATCCTAGTAAGCGATTCGTAGGAATTCACGAAATTAACTTCGAGAAATATTTATGTCCACTTTACGATCTGAATTGCTGAGAAGCTGCTTTCAAATATCACTATAATGTATTTGACCTTATTCAGTAAAATAAGCTGAAAAGCATATATCGAGTCAATAGTAAATTGACTAGGTTGATAATTAAGATAACTCTATAGATAAATGAAGTATACCAATAGATTTTATTAATTAACTTTGATGTGAAAAATTAACATATATGTTCTAGTAACGACTTCTCACTAGAACTCCAGGAGTATCTCCTGAAGTCAGTCACTAGTGAGCAGGTGATTATTATCAGAATATGTTTTGAGAAGTCCCACAATAGGACGAAACGGCTGTCCAGTGCTTCCAGGTTTTCCATGATGGTCTAGCTTCAAATGACTCATGATTTCAACCAGTGAAATTTCTAAAATCTCCACAAAACCCATTCTGATATGTGTCGTAGTGTACTAAAAAACCAATCGAAAGTGTAATGAACCGAGAATTTGGCAGAACCAATTATTTCCGATAAAGAAGAGGAATATATTCAAGAATTCATTAAAACATTGACATTTGTTTAGTTGATCATAGTTTCATGTTAATAGAATTGCATATTGTTGTACACAAGAAGGAACTCAAATTTTAGTTTTTATAGCAATTAAGATGTGTTTCAAACTTTTTTTGTCAAACTTTAGATAGCTGAGAAGATAGTTACAGTAGCTTACACTAATGGAATTAATGTTTTTGAGACTGGAGAAGCTTATTCAAATGGAGAGTAAGTTAATTGACTGAAGAACATGTATTGTAGTTCTTAGTCATTAAACTGTTTTTTTATTATTTTTATTTTTATGAACATTACGCTTCATAGTGATTCGTAAATATCGACCATATTTCACTTATAGTTAGTCAATTTTGTTGCCCAAAAATATTCAGCATAAAATTTGATATTTTTGTTAGAAACTTTTTCAACTGACATAAATGAGACTAGGGTAATTTGAAATATGAATGTTCGGTTGAAAGGGTTAATATGTATATTTGAAATAAAACTTGATTCGTCGCACTAATAAAATCACACATGTAGTTGACTGATACGAGAATAAAATTTGGTTGACATCTAGATCATGTATTATAGTACAAGTAAACATCTGCGTTAGTTACCATGGATTGTGCTACTCTAAGAGATGTTTTCTGGATCAGTCATTCACTCTAATGAAAATATTTACCGTCGATAAAAATCGAAGCAAAATTAAAGTAAATATTAAGTCCGTGCATGATAAAAAGTAAGTGCATTTTACTTTGTAGTCAACAAAACGATGAGCATAAAGTATAGTGATCAAGTTTGTTACCTGTAGTCACTGAAAAACTCTAAAATATTACCGTGTTCATCATCATGCAAATGAAAAAAACATATTAGTTTATGAAAATATTGAAAGTAATTAGAAATTCTTTGAGATATATGGAGAGACATAGTTGTGGTGTTTCCACATGTCCTGGGAATATTACGGTACGATGTTGATGTTTTTGTATGTACATACACGTGCCAGATACTGGTTCAAGGCTACGCAAAAAGCTCGCTTTTCATAGACATATGATAATTGGGAAATCAAAATTTAGAAAACCTTTTGTAAATGAGCTCAATAATCGCGTAGCCGGGATTAACACACCGTAACTAACCATTTAGACCATTTTAACTGATCAGTAATATGTCCAAAAAAATAACTTTAAATATCATAACCGTCAATTGTTATGTAAATAAAAAATAAACAGGAATACTTGCATTACAAGTAAGTGTAACCCACAATGCATCACGTGACTAAGTGCCGAAACTAAAAGTACGTAGTTTAAACATTAATCTGTAGTAAGATAAAATTGTTTTACTCATTCCTCATAACTAACTTCTTGATGATGACTTGACAAAAAATAAATTAGCGTTAGTCTAACATTAGGCATTGTTTATCAATGTTATTTACGGTTATTACTTCTTTAATTTAGTTTAACTGGTATTCTGAAGGTGTTCTTGAAACAGTATTTGTCTGCAATAATCACTTTATGTTACTTAACTTACTTACTCCTGATACCCCTAATGGATCATAGGCCGCTGATCAGCACTATCCAACCCACCCTGTCCTGGGCCTTCGTTTCTAGTTCTATCCAATTGTTGCTCATTCTTCTCACGTCTCTCTCCATTTCTCGACGTAATATGTTCTTCGGTCTTCCTCTTCTCCTTTGGTCTTGAGGATTCCAAGTAAAGGCTGATCTTGTTGCGCATTTGAATGTTTTCCTCAATGTGTATCATATCCACTTCCAGCTCTTCTTCCTCCGAAAGGACCTGATTTGTTTTCTCTCACAGTAGATTGTTGCTGGCAGTGCCTGGCCGACAGATCCGAAGTATTTTGCATAGAAAACTGTTAGTAAACACTTGAATCTGCTGGATGATGTCTTTCGTAGTTCTCCAAGTTTCCACCTCGTACAGTAGAATTCTTTTGACATTTGCAATAAAACTACTGATTTAGATGTTGGTTGGCAGTTGCTGCATCCTAGCTGTCCATTGTACCTCGTGCTTCCCCTGAGATGTTGATGTCTTCAATAATCTAGTCGATCACCAGGAGAAATAGAAAGGGTGAGAGTAAGTAACCTTACCTGACACTGGTCTTTACATCGAACGAGTCTGTGAGCTGGCTTCCATGCACGGTAAATATTTATCAAAGAAAACTGAAGTAACATATACATTTGAAAGATATGTTACATTGTTGTGTAGAATAATTGATATAGCTTATTATAGGATATTGATGTAGAATAATATCAATGACTATTGCTTGGTTTTCAATGAATTGACAACTGAGATTAGTTTGTAATTTAATTCAACCTTAGGATTTTCACCAACCCTCACAAAACCAGTTCATCAAAAATTGTAAAATGTATATGGTAATAGTTTCTCGAATTATGGAAAATATCTGTTGAAGATTATTTTGTTTTAATTCGATTTTAGGGCCGAAAGAACATTGGGTAGAATATTGAGTACTAAAAATTGGCGGTAAGTTTACAAATCAATGAACTAAAGATGAAAATGAACAACAGTGTTCTACATTTATTTTATTTGTATTCGATAGTAACTATTAATAACAGTTATTCATGAAACTACTCGTTTGTGTTGAAAGAAATTATAATCACTATCTTTACTTTATTCAAATATAAACATGAACCATCAGAATACTTGATTAATAATGAATGCAAAAGTTCAACTTTTTTGAAAACATAACATTATTCAATTCACTAGCATGTCTTATTATAGCCATTCAATTATAATAATTATTGAAGTATTATAGTGAACGGAGACTTGATGAGGATAACCAATATATGATTTAGTGCAAAATTACAGAGTGTCTTCGTAAATTATGAAAGCCTTACATTAACTACTTCAGTTATACATCTTTCATCAGTTGTCCATTACATCCTTTATGATTCTTCTAATTCGCAATTCCTTCATATTTTCTTCAGCTCAATCTTCATAACCTTCTTTTATCAGGCATTCCATTTCTGATCAGTGTTACATGCTACTTATGGATGTCAACATTAGTAGCATACACTACAGTATGACTATTGAGGTTGATAATAAAGGTTTCGAAAACAATAGTTCGTTCCAATATCCTATGTTTTAAAATATTTTTCATTAGCTCATCATTAGTTAATTAAATTGCTTTTTTAAAGTTGCTTTTAGTGTAATTTAAATAGTAGAGTGGAAACATTGAATGTCCTGGGTTCGAATCTCGCGGGGTGCAGGATCGTGGATGCGCACTGCTGAGGAGTCCCACACTGGGACGAAACGGCCGTCCAGTGCTCACAGGTTTTCCATGGTGGTCTAATTTCAATTGACTCATGATGTAAATCTGTGTAATTAAATGTTAACCAAATAGTTTCAGACAAATTTTATTTGTGTGTTTTAAAAATGTAAGTACTACAGATTACGTAATCTGAGATAAAAATCAACAAATAATGTCACCGTTTTGAGTACTTATATATTTTCAAAGTAGAACTATTTTATTTAGTTCATCCATGGAACAAACTTACAACTTTCATAATCTAACCTCCCCTTCCCTTTTATAGAAGGTTTAAGCAAGTGAAGTGATAAATTAAGAAGTTGGTTTGATGTAATTCACAACCTAAAATTACATAAAACCACATGTCTAGTCTTTTAAAGACTGATTAGTCTTGGGTTTGAATCTCACGATACGTAATCGTGGGTGTGCACTGCTGAGGAGTCTCACAATAGGACGAAATGGCCATTCAGTGCTTCCAGGTTTTCCATGATGGTCCAGCTTCAATTGACTCATGATCTCAACCATTGAAATTACTATAATATCCACAAAACCCCTTCTGATATTAATTGCAAATATTCAATAAAGATTTTCAGCAGCCTACTTATACTGTCTGTATAAAGAAATCGTGACAAGAATGCTTTAATATACATTATAATATGTACAGTGAAAATCAATAAAATGTCTGTGGAATGAAAAAAATAATACACAGTCACATTAAGAAAACGTTTGTTCAGTTAATACATAACTAAGTTTTCACAAAAAGCTTCCTTTAAGTTGAGTGGGAAAAAAAAGTTTTTCAACGACCAATTTAACAAACTTTTGAAGTCTATTTATTTTTGGATCTTACATTTAGATGAAATAAGTATCAAATGTGTAAGGCGAAATATTCCGTTATAAAATGGCTGGGGATAAACTTTAGGCTTTCAAGTCATCTAGGTGTATCGTAGTAAATAATTATGATTGTGTTTTCGTTTATTCAGTCATTCAATTATAGATATTTAGAAATAATTTCATTATAGACTTTATGGGAGGTATGTCTTTTGTTGTGTTATAAGTTTTCTTACATCGTGACAGACTGTCATACTATTAACAGTTCGATAGCATGGTGGAATGGTATTTTAGTCATAAAAACCTTTACGTTTTCCATGTAAGCTAGCGAAAACGACATGTAACGAAATACACCCTTCATTATGGATTACGATGGTGTAAATAAATTCTTGCTTCATTTTTTTGGTAGTCAGGTGCAAGGTCAGAATTGTGAATGAGAATTGAGGGTATTCTCACCCTAAAAAACCCTTTTTGTACACCTAAACATCTCAAAAATGGTATCTCTTACTACTTATTATAAAACGATATTCATTTTTGGATTATTATTATTCTTGTAAGTTGTCTCAGGAATCGTTAGAAAAATCTGAATATTTTATGGCTTTATGGAGTACGCGGATTTAGTGTTGTTATTTCACAACACTTATTGGTCAATAAAACAGCCATATGTCATAACACAAATACAGTCGAAGCGTAAACGTGCTAGAAATTACATCGTGTTTTCAGGTGGTTGTAATTGAAATTTTCTACAGTTGAGTAATAGATCTTTTAACTGTTTTCCTCCTGGTCAGTCCTCTGTGACACTGGTTTAATAAGATTGCATCTGTTTCAATGAAGCTTTTTAGATATGTTCTCATATGTCAACTATCCAAGTTAATCATACGATGTACTCATGTACATTTATTTAGGGTTCAAAACCTATTGTAATGTAAAATATTGCAAAATCGAAGCTCACTAGTTAGTGTATTTTCATCCAAGCCTATATTTCGGAAAAAACAAGACATAGTACGTTTGTTTCACAAAACTTTATGACGAATGAAAAGTCTGTCGGAGTAGAAATAATCGAAAACTTTTTTTGTTGAGGAAACTTGCGTAATAGTTACTTTTATGCAAACTAATTTGCTCATAATTTGTAAATATTTACAATTTTATTGTTTGCTGTAAAGGTATTTATTCCTTTATCCTTCATATTGTTTACCAGTACATCTCTAGCGAACGAAAAAAGACAAGTAAAAATACATGATTTACATTCTTAATCTAAACTTTTAACTATCATGAACACTGATATAAGATTTGTAATAGTTAAGGAAAAAAGAGGACTAGAACTGTGGAACTACTTAATTCATTTGTGCTGATTATTTGAACCTTCCTAATAATGTTCCAGGTCTGTAATTAATTAGTCTCTTTCAGCAAATTTGCGGAATGAACATCAACCCTGTGATGCAAGTAAATCCAACTGATGAGTCCCAATTGGAATGAAACCCGCATTCTAGGTAACACTGCTAGCTACTATCGATTTCTACTCAAAGATATCGAACTGTTTGTCTGTTATTTAAAAATCTACTATCGTTGTTGCTGAGAAGCTTCAAATTTCAAACTTGAATAGGTGGTTTTCTGGTTCGTACACGAGTAGGAAAGAAAAAAAGACGTAACCTTTCAATATAAGTATAATATACAGAAACATAACAACATGAAATTTAATCAATAACAAAGATTGTTAGTAAAGTACAACACAAAATAAAACAATTAAACTAGTAGTTATGTTCAGAATTTTTAGTTATGTCAAACTTATACCATAACGGTAATTCGTTTGTCATTTGTACTAAAAATTAAAATGTCAACAAAGACTTACCATTTTTACCAAATAAATTGATCTAAACAAAAGTGAATCTACTTTATTTGTTATACTGTCGTCTTTAAAAGTTATTGTTCTATACCATTAAAATGTTTGTCATCACTAAGTGGATATTTGGTAAAAACAAGTGTAACATATAGAAAGAAATGAAACTATGTATATGTTTAATTCACTTGATATTGTTTTATTTGAATCTTCCCATTGATGTTTTTGGACTGAAATTGATCAGTCCACTGCTAGCCACTATCCATCTTTGCTTACAATGCTTGTAAATTAAGGCAATATCGAGGCATACGCACAGTATGCACATATGCCAATAACAGACTGATCAATTTCAGTCCAAAAACATCAATGGGAAGATTCAAATAAAACAATATCAAGTGAATTAAACTTCAACCCATTGCACAAGCAAGTGGCTATCAGGACTCAGTAGCTAAGTGGATAACGCGATGGCGTTTGAAGCGAACGGTACTGAGTTCGAGTCCCAGAGTGAACATCAACTCAGATGCAGGTACATCCAGCTGACGAGTCCCAAACAGGACGAAACGCGCGTCCTGGATTCCACTGCTAGCCACTATCCATCTTTGCTTACTATGTATATGTTTGCTTAATTATAAGCTAATGTTGTTCTTACTTAACTTTTTAGAATCATTTCTTGTACTTGACAACACATGACAAATCTCATTGAGATATTAAAATATTTCAGTGCATGGTTCTACCTAACAGAATTCATTTAGCATGTCAACTAACATACAGACTGGATTTTATTCATTCGATTGCATTTTCGTCGATTCAAATATTTTTTTATCTAACAAAATTGTTTCTAGTCATGATAGACATTTAGATTCTTTTCTTGGTAACTATGTTTATTAGTTAAAATTTCCTTGGATGTTATATTGACCAATAAGCAAACTTATATGAAATCATCAATAAATTGCTTTTATCAAGGCATTTATTATTATGAACAATAAAACATTACCAAAAGGGAATCAAACAGATGCTTCAGTACATAACAGATCATTTTAATTCTTTAGCTTACTGTTTATAGTTGTAAAGATAAAATAATAATCAGGCTTTCCGAATAACAATGGACTACTATTCTCTGAAAGATTTTTAAAACAATGTTTCGTCTTCAGATAGACACTGGGTTGTATTATCACGGGATAATATACAGCTTACAAATTTTTCGAAAAATTGCCAATTTTTTGTGGTTTTAAAGACCGCTTATTATCAAGTGATTTATTCGCCAATCGAAATACGACTTATACAATCTTAGTACTGTGTCAACCAATGACGTTCGACCGGTATGAGCAACCTAGCGTCCTAATTGGTCTTTGTTCACATGGGATCGAATCTGTCAAGGAGCACTGGTCCCCTCAAGATTACAGATACATCTTGCTAACGAGTGCCAAATAGCACGAAAACTAGGTCCAGAATTTCCTGTTGACTACCTCCAATCACCATCTTATGGTCCTTTGTTCGCCTAGCCTGGTCCAGTTGAGTCCAGAAAGTCAATAACAGCTCCCACCATGCAAATCATTTATTTCAAACATGCTTGGTTTATAAACCAGCCAAACTGATCGCATCTCACCATAAAATAGGAAATAACATTTATGCAAGATCAAACCAAAACGTGGCTGTAAAGGTGGGAGACGGTAATTAGTAAACTCAACATAACTTAAGAACAGAAATGTTTATTAGAATCAGTGGAAATATTATCAAGCAATATTTGTTATTCTTAAACTAGATAACATTTCGCCATTTTTAAAAATTAAGTTATGAAGTCTCGTAGGGATACAACCCCTAACAAAGGGTCTGAAAAGTCGGAAAAATGAAAATTTCACAAATGCCATAAAAATGACCTTGGTAATTGCATTTCGACGCAAGACAATAGGTTCTAAGTGTTCTTTAAGCCCTAACGCTTCAGGCTGGATTACTTCGTTTGCTACCCTACATATGTATCGTGTGCAGTATAAGCTATAATCTAGGCTATGTAGAGCTGAACGTATCATATGAGACTGGAGGTCCGCTATTGATATTGTAGATGGTTCGGTATTACTTTGGCAAGTTTTACTGACTGTTCATACACAAAATTGGTTTGTTGATTAACCGATTTCATTCATACTAGTGGTTACTTTTCAGTGTTCTCAAGGACCATAGTCATTGGGACAGTATAATGCATATCACCATTGCTAACATTAATGAGTTTGACTGTCATGTAAGCGGAATAGGTCAACTCTGACGTGTTCATGCTGTGTATAATTGATTAACGCAATCAATGATCGAAACAATTATACATATGATGTGAATATGTACATGAATGGTGCGAATGGTCCATCAGGGTGCTAGGTACCTGTGTGGTTGAGTCACACAATTGATTTGTACTATTCAGATTGTAGCATTAAAGCCTAAATGGTGTTTAGTTCTCCTGTGAAGCAGGAGTGAGCTGTACTACTTGGATTATGACTGGGTAGTTTCTGGCTTCCCTGATGAACGGGATAGAAATGTACTGTTTAGGCTGTCACATGAAAGTCTTGATGATGTTCTGTTCTCCTAAAAACCGATGTAATATTACTCTGGCCCACAGGGGTATATTATATAACTGTGAACTAACTATGTGAATAAAGTTTCATAGCTGTTTATTTACTGATTTTATGAGTTACCACCAACACACTTAAGATACTTGTTTATTTCAAAATTAATATTTAGAATAGTAAATTATCATCTAGTAAATTTAATTGTCATCATAAGAAAATTGATCGAGGTTTCAGTCCCAATTACCTAGATGAGATTTTGTAATTAGATCTACAGTACATTTTGTATTATCATCTGTATTGTCTACATTTTAAATCTTGGTAAAAATGTTTCTATATATACAATTAAATTTGTCTGATATTCAGTAAATTTGAGGTATTTTTGTGCATCTTGTCTACTTTGGATAATTTTTTAATTCTAAAAAACAAAAATCAATAGTTTTTCACAGATCATGTTTCCATTTTTCAAATGAGATTCTTGTCAAGGTTAAGTGTGTTGCTATGGGTTTTTCCAAGTGGATGACGTAACATGGTTTAAAAAAACTAATTATTAACTTGATTGTAATATATTTTTCCCTTTTCAGAAGATCCAGTTATATAGTATGCTGTAGATTGTCAAAAAGTGGAGAGTAAGTATAATGTTTAGTATTAACAATGATTGATTGATTAATTATAATAAATGTTGTTTGTAAAATTTGGAATTATACGAACTAAGAAGTAACAAGGTTTTTTTCTAGATAGATAACAATGTTACGGTGTGGTAATCATCTTTGACTCTTTGACATGGTCAAATATACACTTGTGATTTAACAAACATTTCATAACATCTAACATATGTAGTTAGAAAATTACAACTATCCATACAAATGATATACTATTTTCGTGTATTTCAACGAATCGACTAATTAAAATCTGCTTAAAAGTGTTTTATCAAATTCTCTTAATGACAAGGAAGAATAAAGAATACGTCTTTCATTAGATGGTGGTTGGAGGTAGTCGACAAGAAACCCTGGACCCGGGTTTCGTGCTACTCGGCACTCGTCAGCAAGGTGTACTTGTAATCTTGAGAGAACTGGTGCTCCTTGACGGATTCGATCCCGTGTCACCCAGCTTCACAGTCAGAGACGTTACCACTGGGCTATCCAGGCCGCGACAAACTTTCTGTAGGACTGAGATGTCATCACAATTGATTGATCACTGGGTGGTGATCAGTGTCATGCGTGTCAAGTCCTTATTTCTATCGACTACCTCCAACCACCATCTAATCTCAATATATAGTGACCGCGGTGTCGAGTCACCTAGACCGGTGGCCATTGCTTTCGATCTGCACTAAATAAGGACTTGACACATATGACATTGATCACCACCCAGTGACCAATCAATTGTGAATGCGTCTTTCATGTCTGTCATTAATCCTAATAATTCTGATAATATATATAAATTGTTTTAGAAAAGCATGGACCGAACTTAAGTTATAAGTTGTCATGTAGTGTGTTTAGTATTTCAATGCGCCTAACAAAATTAAAGCTTTTAAAAACTGATTATTTAGCCGTCTGACTAAAGAGAGAATAAAGGCTGTCACTGTTCTGAATCACCTTTAATAGAATTTACTAAGAGTTTTTTTGACAGCCATGAGCTAAAATGGTTGTTTAAGTAATCGTAACAAAATGTTTTCTGTGCCAGTATTTAAATGTCCATATACTGATTCCGATTTTAAGGATATTTTGTTATTTTCTTTGTGCAACTTTAATCAATATTTAGTGCTAAAAAATAACCTTATATTACGGTAATAGTTTCGCTGAAACTAAGCAAGCTAGATCACTTGGTATATAATGAAGACTGATTACTTTGTAGTGATTCTGAAACATACATGGTAAATTGTTGAATTTCAGAACACTATAACATAATTATATAAAATATGGTTGAATTGACGTAAGACTGGATAAAATTGATTTTGAATCAGTCTGAAATACACGTCATTATCCCATAATTTCTTTAGTAAAAATAAATGTTTTTGATCATAATATGAACCGTTCTACAAATACTTTTATTGATTGATATAAAATTGTTGGACGCATCTACTTTTTCAATGAATATCAAAAGAGATAAGGTAGTGTGTGTTAATAGTGTCAATAGATATATGTAGCATGTATCATCAGTCGAAAGCGAAATTTCTGGAGGCAGAAGGTTAAGAAGATCAAAGAAAAACAAACAAGAACAAAGAATGTTTAGTGTGGAAATGAAAGAATGATAAAGTCGGATACCATTGATCTACATTTTGTAGAAGGATCAGTCAAGTTTGATTAACAATTGATTGACATTTTGCAAATAAAGTATTTACTGCATTGTTTTCAGATTTTACTAACATATTCTTTAATTTCGTATTCAACTACAATCGATTGTCCTCATTTGCTTTCTCATTCACTACAATAGTATCTTTTCATAGTGCAATCTATCGAAATCAGCAACTTATAGCAAATTCTATCACCATTCAATGAAAGTCCATCAATATTCTGTAGAATGAAATAAATATTTACATGACCAAAATTATCTTATATATCTGATTTGCTTTAATATCTAACACTTAAAAGAAGGCGAAAGACACAATCTATGAACACAATATTATATAATGTAGCTAAGTCAACATAAGTCATTAGGCATTAAAACATAAACATGATGTAACACTGGTAACTATTAATCAATTCTTTATTAGAAGTTTAAATACTTCAATGCATTTAAGCTTTCATTATTGCCTATTACAAATGAATTTGTCAGAATTTCAAGGCAAACATAAATGTTGCTTCTTTTTGATTGCGGACTAGATAAGCTTGATTATTCAACTATGCTGAATGTATTGCTTTTTTAACATTCACGAAATGCTGTTTTATAATTTCTTTTATTATTTACTACTGATGTGTAATGATTTAAGTAGTGTGAATTTCCATTTGTAAAGTTTGTTTTCTCATAGCTGAACATTCAATTTTAAAAGATAGTAGTTATCTTTTCGAACGGCATCTTATTTTGTTGTTAAAAACGTTTTATTCTGCCTGAAGTAAAAGACATTTTAACCCAAATTTTAATCAAATTAATACATTTGTAATATGTATGTGTATGACATTCGTAATATCCCAATCAGAAGAAAAAATAAATTATCTGACGTTTCGTAACTCAATATGAGTTACTTCGTCAAAGAATAAACAACCAAAATAAAATAGATCCAATCGATCAATCAAAAAACGGGTCTGAACAGGTCACATATAATATTCTTGTGTTGTTCCTTTGTACTATTTAAACTTAGATCAATTTTGATTTGGTTATTTATTCTTCAAAGAAGTGACTTACATTGAGTCACGAAACGTCAGAAAATCTATTTTTTCTTCTCATTGGGATATTACAGTAATATTAATTGATTTATAACAATCTACCCAATGCTCAATGTATTAGAAATCATCAGGTCAAACCTTGATAATGATACCTACTTTAACCCAAATTCGTTATTTAAGTTAAAAAGAAATCTTTTTAGACAAAGATGGATAGTTACTAGCAGTGGAATACAGGATTGATCAATTCCAGTTCTAAATAAAAATGGGAAGATACAAGCGAAGCAATATCAAGTGAATTTAAAAAGGAATCTGTTCATCAGAGAGATTCTTGATATTTATGTAAACAATTGTCGTCTGTTATTCGTTGTACTTATGAAACAAACCAACGGTAATTACTTGATAAAGTACTCAAAAATCTGAATGTTTATTTTTACTAGTAACATTTGGAAAGTTCCTAAATGAGAAACATCTTAGCGAATCATTTAGTTTTATGCCGTTATTGTTTTGGCTTGCATAATAAAGTTCTTTATTGATTACGGATTCAGATAGCATTTATATTCAATTACATTGTGATTAATAGTGTTGTCATGTATAAAAGATTAACATTTTATGGCATTATTACGTACAATGTTCAATTACTGCTCTGAAAAGCTCGTTATTGGAATTTATAGAGAGTTTAATTTTGAATCTCTATTAAAAAAACACATTACATGGAAAGAACAAGTAAAATATAGAGCAATCTGAAATAAATTATGTCTATGTGTATTACATTTTTGATGGTGACATCTCAGTGTTGATGTCTACATTGAGGCTTGAACTCGATACATGTCATTTCAAACTACTAAACTTTCATTACTGAGTAACTCTATTCAAATAAACACGAAAGTGTTCAGCGAGTGTGATTTCATCTGCTCCGGCTTGTTATTAAAACTCACTAGTGTATTTTAATCAAGTTGACTACACCATAACAATCTTTAAAAAAAAAATAACAGGATAACTCGAATCCTTTAAAAATGTATTGAAGTTCATACCAATCAATATATCTTTAGTTAAGTTAACATATCATCATTTCTAACTTATGCTATTTACATTTCATTACCGATTTTCATTTTCAATATTTGTCTACAATTTAAATCAATATGTCTTTTATTTTAGTGCTGAAACTGAACAAGGTCTTTCAAGAAAGCATCTTTTTGAAGGTAAACAATATTCTACATGTTACTACATGTTTTATAAATTTATATATATGTAAAATTGTTATTGTCTTGTTAGACACTTGTTTTTTAGAATGGTAGTTGGAGGTAGTCAACAGGAAATTTTGGACCTAGGTTTCGTGCTGCTTGGCATTCGTCAGCAAAGTGTATCTGTAATCTTGAGGGAACAAGTACTCCCTGACGGATTCGATCCCGTGTCACCCAGCTTCACAGTCAGAGACGTTACCACTGGGCTATCCAAGCCTCGACCAACTTTCTGTAGGACTGAAATGTCATCACAATTGATCGATCACTGGGTGGTTATCAATGCCATGTATGTCAAGTCCTTCTTAGTGCAGATCGAATGCTATCGACGAAGTTTGTTTTTTCAAATGTAATGGATTCAAACTTGATAATACTGAAGAAGCGAACGAATATAATAAATTTTTGATATTTCCTTAAAGTTAAAAATATAGAACATTCATTAGCTTATTGAGAGATTTGCATTTATAAAAGTAAATTTATTCCTTTCTTATAAATTGTAAGTTTTATCTGTCATCAAACGAAGTGATTGAGGTTTAAAGTTATAATGAATTTTTTCAAAATTAATTTGATCATCTATTAAATCCAATTCCTTTAATTATTCCAAAATACTACAGTGTATTTAAGTAAGTATGATAATCTAATTAAACAACGAACATTTTCTGCACGATCTAATAATAGTGTAGTGAATGAGAAGATAAGTAGGGACAACCAAACGTATCTTAATACAACATTTACGGAATCTTTTAATAAAATCTAAGAACCATAAAGTAAATACTTCATACGCAAAATATCAATCAGTCGTCTCAGACTTTATTGTTCCTTCATTTCTACAGCAATCATTCTTTGTTCTTGTTTTCTTCTATTCAATCTTCTTAACCTTCTGCTGCTAGGCAATTCACTTTCGATTGGTGACATATACTACTTATATCTGTTGACATTAGTAGCACACACCACTATTGGATTATATATGTGATAAATATCATTATTTTATATAGATTACATTAGATATAAAAAGTACAACCAAGTCCTTATGAAACACTGTGTAATCTGATTATGTAATAAAAACAACATGTACTTTTTTCAAAAAACAAACAAACGATGATAGACTAATATTAGGTCAAATAATGATCATATGAAAAGGCAAAAAGATTTATTAACTTTATCAATTTCATTGTACTTTGAAAATGTTTCTTCTTAGTGATAAGTTAACCTTATTCATTCATTTAATTATTATTATATAGTATTATTATAATTATTATTATATATCCAACATATTTTGTGAAACAGGTCTTCGATCTTCCTTAGAAAGACTTCAACTAGAATATGTAGATATTGTGATTGTTACGCATCAAAACAAATCATCAATTCCAGTTGAAGAAGTTGTAAGAACTTGCACACATCTTATTCATCTTGGTTGGACATTTTATTGGGGTACATCTGGATGGTTACCTTGTGAAGTTATGGTAATATTTCATCAATGAATGTTTGTCGTTTTCATATGTTAAGATTACGAGTTTCTTATTCATGAAATCAATCGTTTAAAATGTCATATAGAATAAATTGGAAATACATAGATGGGAATAAAACAGTTGGAAAGAAAAAATTATATTGTCTATTATATTTATCAGCTTTCTGATTATCAGATTAGAAAGACAGTCATATGACAAAAGAGTTTGTACAACGTTAATCAGATTATATATTTTATTTTCATACATTTTCATATTAAAAAGCGGGAACCCGATGAAACAGGATAGTCCAATTCCTAGAAAACAGAAAATTTAGCTTTTTTAACATCTTGATCTTGAAATTCTTTGGAACTGTCACATTACATTTTCAAAACTACTTGATAGGTGTAAAACACGAAAACTTCTAGTGTGACAATCGTTCCCCCCACCATAAGGTTTTACTTCATTTTTTAAAGTAAATATTATTATACTATTTTTCAATCATTTTCCGTTGATACATTGTAATAACTGAAGCGCAGCTAAAGTAATATCACTGAAAATTTGATTGACAAAAACAGAAGAATATGAAGAAATGATGTTCTAGGATTACATAATGTACATAAATATATGGGATTGCATTCCACATAACGGAATGTATGATAAATAGTATACAAATAGACATTTAGTTATACTTACTTATTTACTCCCGTTACTCCTCGTGGAGGAGCATAGGCCGTCCACCAGCACTCTCCATCCAACCCTGTCCTGAGCAATCCTTTCCAATTCCTTCCAGTTGTTATTTATCTTTTCCATATCTGCTTCTATTATCCGACGTGATGGCCTTCCACTTTTCCACTTCCCCTCAGGATTCCAAGTTAGGGCTTGCATCGTGATGCAGTTTGGTGATTTCCGTAATGTACGTCCTGTTCACTTCCAACGTTCTTTCCTAATTTCCTCTTCAGCTGGAAGCTGGTTTGTTCTCTCCCATAGTAGGCTGTTGCTGATGGTATCCGGCCAATGGATGTTGAGTATCTTACGTAGACAACTGTTTATAAATACTTGTGCCTTTTTGATGATAGCTGTAGTAGTTCTTCAAGTTTCAGCTCCGTACAATAGGACTGTGTTGACGTTGTATTGAAGATTCTGATTTTGATATTGGTTGAAAGTTGTTTTGAGTTTCATATATTCCTCAATTGTAGGATACGGCTCTTGTTTTGCATTCAATAGTAAAACTATTTGAGCTTTTAAGAAGGAACTTTCGTCGCATACTCTTTGTTAAGATTTCTTTTTTACATTCACTTTGCGACGTTAATTTTTCAAGTAAATAAATGTTTTCGTTAGACATTTTTTTCAATTCTTGTAAACGTTACATCAGTGTATGGCATTTTCTTCTATATATGATAAAATCAAACTTAAGAGTCTAAATGTTGGCATATTAAAATAAGACATTGTAAACTTTGACGACTATAGACAGATCAGAGAATCCTATCTGAACGTTGATTATGTATCACTAAGGTTCAGCTCGATATGCTTTTTGACCAAGTGCTTTGTAGTTTATTGAATTAGATCAATCATATTCGATGTATTTAAGAAGTACAAATGAGACATATGGTAGTTTATTGTGAAAACTTGGGTTTGAGTGTAAGTCTTCCACATATCAGCTTACAGCAATCAGTCGATCAGCATTACTAAAGTTTCATAGATAGATTTTATTTTATTGTGGTAAATAGTTATCGAAAAAAAGCATGGGAAACACACGACAAATATTTAAAAAATAGAATCTTTTGGAAGGTTTGTTCATCCACTTAGCCACAGAAACAAGAAAATAAGTACAGGTAAAACTGAAGTAGAAGAATTAAAAATATACTTAAGGAGCCATATACAAACCCAGTTAACTATCTCTTGGTAGTACATTTCTCAAAGTAAATCTCCTAAATGCATTGAATTGCTAAGATTTAATCTATTAAAATACGACAGACAAGTTATCAATACTGTATATTTACCTGATAACTAGAACGTCAGCAAATCATTCAAACAAAGTGCTCACAACCAGATTAACTTCAATAACTTCTTTTCGCAAACTACTATGATCTCGTTTTATTCATTTGACTTTGCTTAAATAATCTTTAAAATTCTGTATAAATTCCAGTATATTTACTTTAAAAACAAACTTCTATTATTTAATATTTGTAAATAATATGGTTAGTTTCTATCGATTAATTCATTAATTACAATCTTTAGATACAAAATTTATAAACAAAGGTGGATAGTGGCTAGCAGTGAAACCCTCGACGCGCGTTTCGTCCTATTTGGGGCTCGTCAACTGGGTGTACCTTCACCACAGAGTTGATGTTCACTCTGGACTCGAACTCAGTATCGTTTGCTTCAAACGCCATCGCGTTATCCACTTAGCTACTGATTCCTGATAGCCACTTGCTTGTGTGATGGGGTGAAGTTTAAATTCACGTGGTGTTGTTTACTTGTATTTTCTCATTGTTGTTTAGGACTGCCATTGCTCAGTCTCTTGTTGGCATATGTCAAGACTCATTAGCTAAGTGGATATTGCAATGACGTTTGAAGCAAACGGTCTATAGTGAACATTTACTCTAGGATGCAGGTGCATCAAGCCGACGAGTCCCAAAGAGAACGAAACGCACGTCTTGGATTCCACTGTTAGCCACTATCCATCTCTGCTTATAAAGCTTGTGACCTCAGGCAATATCGAGGCAATCTGCACAGGATCTACATATGCCAACAAGAGATTGAACACTTGCAGTCCTAAATGACAATGGGAAGATACAAGTAAACAATACCAACTGAATTTAGATACGTTTTTTATTTTAACTGCTTATCCACGAATTCTAAACCAAAAAAGGGGTCATTTGTTTGTTCTTTTTTCAAATCATAATCAATCAGCATATTTTTACTGGTCTGATAAACTGTATATACAAGATCATCATTTTATCAGTTATTTAACTTTTTGTAAGAGTTTTCTTTCATTAGGATACAATGTTCTCTAGAATATATATATATATATATATATATATATATATATATATATATATATATATATATATATATATATATGACAAATCATAAGACAGTGTATAATAGGTCTACAAGTATATCCTTGTGGCGACAGGATAATTTATGAACGAATCAATCAGATTTACAATAACAGGTTGCTAGGTTTGAAGCTATTACGAGTTCACTTAGTATGCGAATGGAACAAAGTCTTGTGACCGTAGACCAATAAACTAGCTATTTGATGCGTCCCAGCCCTGCTAACTAGAGGAAGAAGTCCAAACTTGGAACGGGAAGTTATATTCCGTAAGCCAGAAGAACGAATGAATAATAACAGACACAAATCAAACGTATATATACAGCATAAAACTGTCCCTGGGAAGCGTAGCAAAAATAGCATACTAGAAATACACAACGGACCAATAGAGTTTAAGATCCTCCCAAGTGCGAAATACGACACGAAAGTGAAAAGAGCGCTTTTGGCGCGAAAACAAGAGAATTCAAATTTCCAAAATAAAATTACAAAATTAAGGCATTTATCAAGTGAGTTCTGAGGATCTAACATCCCCAACATAGGTCTTGAATTTCGGCGTGAAATTCATTCATCCATTTGACTAAATAACATCTTGACATTTTAGCTAATATCAGTTCGTGATGAAAACTTTAAATCTAGTCCCGATCCCTAACCAACATTTGTAAATCATAATCCCTATCCTTCACACTGGTTTAAAACCTTCATTTAAACCTAATAAGTAGGTGGACATTCTCAAAGTAACTTTAATGTCTCTCAAAAGTTGTCCATAAATTATAGTCTCACCCTTATTGTTTTAATGCATCGTTATTTAGATTGTATGAATTAATCATATTTATATCCAAATAGTTTATAAATTCCTTTCTTTTTTTCACTAATGTTTCATTAGCAAGCTCAAACAGTTGCCAGACAATTCAATTTAATTCCACCATCTGTAGATCAAAATGAATTGAATTTATTGAATAAAAATTATTTGCAGAATATGCGTGAAATTTGTTTAAAACTAAGTAAGTATATAAGAAAAACAAATATGTTTGACCATTTTATTCTCTACCATGAAATCAATGTTTAAAATATAATGCATCAGTTTTAAAGTTTAATCAGCTTATATAACGTACTATAAGTATGTGTATGAAACGCGATAGTACTGTGAAAATGTTCTCTTAGATTTCATCATTTTTATTCAACTATCTGCATTATGTAATAAACATTGATCAAACAAAATAATTTTAATAGTTGAATTCATGAGTCGTTTAAAGTAAGTCCACTATGGAAAACCTAAAAGAATTGAACGGCAGTTTTGTCCCCGTATGAGACTCTTCAGTAGTGAGGATCCATGATCCTACACATAGGATTCGAACCCAGGACTTTCGGACTCGTAGGCGAATGCTTAACCACTAAACTACTGAGCTGGTCGACATTTAACAGTGTTAATATTTTACTTCAACCCTTCTACAATATTGGACGATGAAATATTCACAAAACCCTATTCTGAAAAGAATTTTAGCTTTTATTGAATTGTAAATAAATAATTTGTTTTTAATATTTATATGCTGTGAACACGCAAACTTGTTGAAATTCATAGTAAGCGCTAAATATTTGAAATCAACATATAAATCAATGCTCATTATCTTCAGCTTAAAATGTAGGTAGTTTTCAGGAAATGAATTTAAATCAAACAAATGATGGTTTTCAATCTTATCATTGCTACAATAATAAAGTTTTATTCATTGTTTCTTTAAAATTGGGAACTATTTGTAACTAAGCAAGATATTATAATGATTATATTTTATGATTGATAATTTTTTCTTTACACTCATTAAATCGTTATTTCTTTTCTTCACGTATATAAAAGATAATTAAGAAAGAAATTATGATAGTTAAACTGTCAAAGCAGCTAGTTGAAGAAAACCACAGTCTTCCTGAAATTCTTTTGAAGATGATCAAGTGATTTGCTGAATGAGTTAGAATATATGATCATGTTTGATCAACTGATGAAATTATATTGATCATAATGTTAATTTCAAGTTGTAATTCAGACAAAACTGTATAAAATGTTCAGTTTAGAGTTAGTTTTGATATCCAGACATCATTCATTCATTGCTTAATCTATTATGCATATCATAATCATTTGCATAAAGATTACAATGGATTATAGAAGAAAGATATACATGAAAGAGGAAGAATATATATTTGTAAAATCTTAGTGAATTAATTTGAAGTAAATCCAACGTTTCGCCTGGCAATCTGGTTCAAGCTTTTCCAAGGAAAATAGAATCAAACAACAAAGTTATCGAATATAAATAGGTACATGCTTCTCTGGTTTACTGTATACATGGAATTAGAAAGAAATATTGTCTTCTGATTTCAAAATTGATATGTGGATAGTATTAAACTGGATTTAATAGTACCAACTAGACAGTTAACTACCTATTATATATTTTACAGAATATATAGATTTTGGATCTATAACTAGAAAGAATCTGAGTATAAAATAGTACCCGATGATGTGTTCAAACTATGGTAGTGTTTCTACATATCTACTTAGGTTTTCAATAATACACAAAACGTTTCTGTAAACCTCTAACGTCTCTTGTAAAACTAGCACATGTATTAATCTACTAAATGAAGTGTATTGTTTAAGTATGAATTACTGCTGTCGTGTGTTAGTTTGAATATTATCGACGTTTATTCACTTAATTCAAATAGTTTCAATATCATGCTGGAAGTGATAGATTCATGGGTTTCCTATACTGGAACTTGGTGGAATATTTCGGTCAACAATATTTGGATTGTTTTTGCATCGAAATATGTAATGATGTCATTGGTCATTTAAATATGGAATAATTTATTTTCGAGTCAATTTTTATTAGCTAATTTAATTGTCGGTGAATATATGTTTTTATCAGATAGCTGCGATTATCAGTCTTTAATCTGGCAGAATTAAGCAATGGAAAACTCTGAACCTAGGTTTTACGGTAGTTTAGAATTGCCAGTAAAGAGTGCCTGTATCCTTGAGAGAAGTAATGTTTTCTATAGAATCAGAACCTATTTCATCTTGATTCACACTCTGAGATATTGTCAGGCTTTTCTGTAGACTACTTTCAATTAACTAACATTTCAACATATTACAAGCGATATTGGATTACTTAGATTAGTAGCCCTATCGCAACTTAGTTGAATGAATTCGACTAGCATCAAAAGACCTAAAACAAAATATGACACTGGTCAGTCATCAACCAATAATAGTTACTAGTAAACAAGAGTTTTCATACACTGATTTGTTGATTATAATAAATTTCAATCGTAAATGACTGTAAGATATCATAATATTGTACATGTTTTCTTTTAAATATTTTAGATATCGGTATTATGACAGGATCACCATTAAGTGGTGGCATTTTAACCGGAAAATACATTGACTGTATACCGAATTTTTCACGAGCTACACTAAAAGTGAGTTTTTGAGTGTAAATTTCTATCTGGCAGAAAACTAATTATCGATTTAATAATGGTACCAAAGTTTTATGCAAAAATAATTATATTCACAGGTTGAAATACAGTAGTCTACGAAGACCAACGACAATTTTTAGTATCATTTTATAATAATCTGTTGGTTAGATCAAATACAAGTCTAAACAGATTTAACTATTTACAATATTTGTTTAGTTCAATGATCATTCATAAGATAGTAGAGTAGATGGTGGGAAAAATGAAGAGCGAATGCATTTATCAACAGAATATTCGTACAACTAACCTTTTTAGTTGACAAAATGTGTTTGCCATTTTTTACATGGTAGGATGAAATTTTGTTTAATTGGTAATGTGACTTCATTGAAGATAATGTGGGTGTTTGTATAAAAGAACAATGTTTAGAATTATCTGTCAATAATCAGATGAAATGCATTTTACCTGTCATTATTTTCAGAGTTTTTAAAAGGATTCACATGAGAATAAGGGAATAGGAAATGGTGAAATTCTGCATTCATTTAGTGGATCAAAAAATCGATTTATTCTTAAGGAATTATACGAATAATAAATGTGTAGTAAATTATTTTTATTAAATATAAACTATTTATTTTAAGCAAAGATGGATAGTGGCTAGCAGTGGAATCCAGGACACGCGTTTCATCCTATTTGGGACTCGTCAACTGGATGTACCTTCATCTCAGAGTTGGCGTTCACTCCAGGACCAGAATCCACAACCGTTCATTTCAAACGCCATCACTTTATCCGCTTATCTACTGAGTCCTAATTGTGGACATCAACTCTGAGATTCAGGTACATCAAGCTGACAAGCCCCAAATAGGACGAGACGCGCGCCTTGGATTCCACTGCTAGTCACCAACCGTCTTTGCTTATAATGCTTGTAAATTGAGGCAATATTGAGGCAATCCGTACAGGATGCACATATGTCAACAAGAGATTGATCAATTTCAGTCCTAAATGACAATGGGAAGACACAAGCGAACAACACCAAATATATTTTTTAAAACTTTTTTTATTGGTTTTAGAATCAAGAAGATATACGTGATAAACTTCTTTGTTCAAAAGGTATCAGTCAAAGGGAACAAGTTAAACAACTATGTAAGATAGCAGGTAGAATGAAATGTACTTGTGCACAATTAGCTATTGGTAAGTTGTAACATATCTTTCCACCACACAGATAATATATATGCTGTGAATTGTGAGAGTGAAATCATTTACTGACTAATTTTAATATTACCTTACTCAAATTAATAATTTGACCGGATTTTACTGGCTATGAGTACTGATAAACATTTACAAAGATTATTATAATTTAATAGAACAAACAGTTGTTATTTAAAAAGAGAAACAATACGAAGAAAAATGTTGGGTTTAATGGAAGTTTGGTTTGTTTGTCATTTGAATTGCAAATCTTATTTTCTTTGTTATTTATTGAATTGAACTAAGCTTATGGGAAGATGCTACATCGAACAACAATATTATAACCTTTTCTTCATAACTTTGCAATAAAAGCAGTCACTTAATGTTTTACATTTTAGATTGGTTAGAATACAACGTCATAGTAGTGTCTCAATAATGTAATAATATGTTATGATTTTATAGATACCCTAGTACGAATTGACTTTTCTTTCTGTTCAGTTAGAAATGTGTCTGATATTTTAAATTTACTCACTAGTGACTAGTTGTGTGAGGGAAATCTTGGACTTCTAGTGTGGAGCCGTGACCAATGGAGCTAATCCGCGTCGGGTACAGACAGGTATCTACATCGGACAATGGAAGATGTTCGCACAATTTCATGGATTGGTTAAAGTTAGACATTAACACTTTTAGATGTCGGCTTAGTGATCTAGAGGTTAAGTGTTCGCGCACGAGACCTAAGGTTCTGGGTCCAAATCTTGTGTGAGGGATCGTGTGTGCGCACTGTTCAGGAGTCCTCTACTAAGACGAAATAGCCGTCCAGTAATTTCAGGTTCTCAATGATGGTCAAACATTGGTTGCTTCATGATCTGAATCAAAAACTTAACAATCTCCGCAACCCCACACTGAAAATATTTAAAAATTTGATAATGGTACAGTTGATTGGTAATAAACTGCGAGAATTAACCACGTCACTTATCCTATTGAAATAGTACATTTTAACTAGTACAGCAGATAAACACATAGCTTAACATTTCGTTAAAACAAACTACTTTAAATGTGTTCATAAGCAGCTTTAGTTAAATTTGACTGTACTCTATAAAATAAATTGATTATATTCGCCCTTCTCCGTCATTTTTGAACGTGTAACGTGAATTACATGTTCAGAACTAGCTTTCTAAAATTTCACTATATTATGCCTTTAAAATTAAAAAACCTGATGCTTATTCCATTCGATTTACTTCTTTTCTTTGTGTGTGAATCAACTTGTTAGCCTGGTGTCTTCGCTGTTCACATATTAGCAGTGTTATTATCGGAGCAGCAACGGTTGACCAGTTACATGAAAACATAAGATCAGTATTGGTAAGTATTTAAAAATATTTCTGGAAAAATTCCAACATTATCGGTAAAACTATAAATGAAAATTATTTGAGTATTTAAAGAAGATTCGACGAGACCATGATTTATGGACGAACCAATCACGTATAAAATAACATGTCTCGGATTTCGGCATGAAATTCACTCATCCATTTGGCTAAGTAGAATTTTGGCATTAGAGCTTATGTCAGTTTGTGATGAAAACCCGAAATCTAATTCCTAACCTTAATCATCAACTGTAAATCATAATTTTAATTCCTCACACAGGTTTATAACGTCAATTTAGTCCTAGTTATTAGGTGAACACCCACAAGGTCACTTTGGCGTCGTTCAAAGGTCGTTCATAAATTATAGTCTCATCGACGATTCAGTCAAATGGCGAGTATTTATTTTACTCAGTGTTTTTCGAGAACAAATCTTTAGGGTTGTATTCTGCGATCGCAATAAACAATTAAATAAGTTGATGTTCAAAGTTTAAACAATCGTACAATTTGAAACTATTTTCTTCAATAAATCAGAAAAGCGTAGTTTATTTAACATTCTCAACTTATTACCTCACTTGTCACTATGGTTCTACATGTTTGTCATTCACTGGTGATTATTCGTGTACTGTTGCGTGAACATTTTGCTGTCGTATACTTAAAACGATATATTTATGTATGCACATTTATATGTAAACACTAACATTGTATGTACATATGTATGTTCACAAGTGGGAAGCTAAAATAATAAAAACTCAGACATATACTGTAGTTAACCAAATTACCAGAGAATACCAGAAGAGCTATTAAGTAATGTATAATTTTCAATGCCTTTCCAGGTGAATTCTATCTGTGTCACAAATTGTACAGATTTTGCTTCATATTTCTCTACCGCCTATTTTATTATTCATCATTTTTTCTGTTATGTTAAGTAGCCTAGTAAGGAATGAATTATTATCTTCATTAAACAACTTAACGTTCAAGTATAGGAGTGTTATTGAGGCAAGAAAATATGACACTTCAATATCTATTTCGGCTAATTAATACGTGAAGCTGGTGAAGACTGATGAACTAAATTGAATTTTTCATTACTTATATTAATAAATAGACTTAAAATGAATTTTAAGCAAAGATGGATAGTGGCTAGCAGTGGAATCTAGGACGCGCGTTTCGTCCTATTTGGGACTCGTCGACTGGGTGTACCTTCATCCCATATTTGATGTTTACTCCAGAACTCGAACCTAGTACCGTTCGCTTCAAACACCATCACGTTATCCACTTAGCTACTGGATCCTGATAGCAATGGAGTGAAGTTTAAACTCACTTGGTGTTGTTTACTTGAATTTTCCTATTGTTGTTAAGGACTGCAATTGATCAATCTCTTGTTGGCGTATACGCATCCTGTGTGGATTGACTCGTTACTGAATTTATTTATTACGAGGATTAATATCAGCTTCTACTATTTCAGTGATAAGTGATAAATTCAATGATTATTGAGGCCGTAATATACATCAAATAAACTAATAAAATATTTGTTACTTATATCATAGTTACAAACACTCTTCCCACATACACTGAATCTTCTAAAATCAAGCATAATACTATATTCCAGGTAATAAGTAGTTAAAAAAAATCTTCAAATTCAATGGTTTGAATTATTTTTTCTGGTTAGCAATTTTTTTAGCGAGTTAGTTTAGTAAGAGACGGGATTGCTAACTCCATGCCCAACCCTCCTACTTTACCCAAGCTTGAGACTGCTAGTAGCCCAGGAGGAGCTCCATGTAGAATTCAATTCAATGAATCCATATAATTTTGATATGAATGTAAATCTTGATTTATTTTATTGAATAAATGAGAAACTAATATGTTTATTCTTTTTATTCATTAGATTTATCCACATTTAAATGCAAGTATCATATCGGAATTAGATACACTATTGAATACAACTGATTCAAATGATAATTTCCTTTAAAACAAAAATATCATAAACTGAATTAATAAATATTATAATTAACAATTAAAACAAGAGGAAATAATAATATTTTACTCAATTTTAAAAAAAAACAAATAAAAAACAATCACGGTTGGCAACTAAAGGGGGAGGAGGAGGAGAAGAAATAGAAAAATGGATGAACAATTGTCAGATATTTTTACATGATTAATAAATTCAATCAAACAACTTTGAATAAAACCCTCTTACTATAATGAGTAACGGTGATAAATATAAATTGAGATAATCATTTTAAAGGTTTATATAAGTTTTAGTAGAACGATTTGTTTTATTTATGTTTATTTAAAATGTTATGATGTTTTAGATGAGTAACGGTGATATTTACATTTTAAAACAAACTACCTTATAGTATGTTTAGTTTTTAAAAACAAACTTAGTTATAAAATAAAAGAATAGAGAAAAATACGTGTCTGAATATCTAAACAATTATATATATTATCAGAAGGGGTTTTGTTGAGATGTTAGAAATTTCACTGATTGAAATCATGAGTCAATTGAAGCTAGATCACCATGGAAAACCTGGAGACACTGGACGGCCGTTTCGTCCTAGTATGGGACTCCAAGAGATACTTCAAGAGATACTCTTGGAGTTCTAGTGAGAAGCTGTTACCAGTGGAGTTCAACCAGGTCTGCTGTGAGATGTCAACTCACTGAAGACAATGGTGTACAGTGGCGCAACTTCGTGGATTGGTTCAAGTTAAACATTAACACCGTTAAATGCCGGCTCATTGGTCTAGCTGGTTAAGCGCCTGGTGCGAGAATGATAGGTCTTGGGTTCGAATCTCGCAGGGTGCGGGATCGTGGATGCGCAGTGCTGGGGAGTCCCACAATAGGACGAAACGGCCGTCCAGTGCTTCCAAGATTTTCTATGGTGGTCTAGCTTCAATTGACTCATCATTTCATTCAGTGAAATTATATATATATATATATATATATATTAGTATATATTGATAGTTTGATATATACACTAAATATATATGCCTGCAAGCACAAAGTGTTTTAGTGGCCCTGGATCTAACTACAGTTAGATCGTTACTGATTGTTATTGAAATGTACATAATACTAATTCTCATATATAATTATCAACTTAACTCGAGTTTGTGAATAACAGAATGGAATAAGTTAAATATGAGGATGAAGTTTGAATAAGTATATTTTGAACAATCGTTGATCAAAATGCGAAGCAAAACGAAATGACGCATGGTGGAAAAAGCGAATGGGTCAACTTGTTTTTATCAAGCATGACACCACATTTATAGTCAAGCAAAAATACACTATGAACACATGATGAATAGGGTAAGTAATTGGCACACATCATATTAAAACAGAGTTAATAAGCTAATAAACGACAGGGTAAAAGTATGGCTTGAGAATAATGAATAGATTGATCTGTCCAGAGGCTACAATAACCTACACGGGGTTGACACAGGACCAGCCCATACAGTGTTATTTCGAAAAAAATTATGATGACTTCTAAAGGTTCGTTTTTGGAGAATAATGCTCATAACTCAAACTGTCTGGCTATAAAGAATTTGTACTAATGATGTGTATAACATATGATTCAATGAACTATATCGTTCAGTATTTATCGAAGAGGCAGATTGATTAATAGAAAATTAAACATTGTGACTGAATCAGAAAAGCTTTGTACCTTACATAACATAAAACGTTAGAATAAACCTTTTATATTTTTACTTTTAAATCAGCCTTTAAAAAGATGAAATGAACTCAAAACGTTTGTAGCTTTGAGACAATTTGCAAACGATTTAAGCAATCCAACAGTACTCTATAAACAGCTAATAATCTTAAATGCTTTCCATGCTGGCAACATCATTTTATGCCATAGTTTTACGGTTATTTTCAACTAGATACAAAGTGAATTTCATGAAAGAACACGTTTTGTTTTACCTTAACATACAGTATAAAATTATATTATGGAATGCTTCATAATATTTGGAAGCATCGTGTAACTATTTTCATAAATGACAAATTGTTTCACTATTAAAAAGAAAGACAACATGTTTCATTTTAGTATGTTTAGTATGGTTAAGTGTTAGCTAGCTTAGAACCATTTGCATTTATCAATAAACCTCATTATGATAATTAGTCAATCAGTCAGTTACAACGTAGGACTAAGCACATATATGCATTGGTCCAAGTTTCCATACCTCATTAGTACAGCAAGATGAACACCGGATTCATAGAACCAGTTAAATCATTGGTGGTAATATATAAAAGAAGGATTTTGTATAAGGATATAATACAGGAAGAAAAAATTAGTTAGTAGAAAGAAAGATATGAAACGATTTGAATCTCACAGTTCAATGGAAGGCAAAATGTAAATACACCTACACCATTGTGATTGATTTTGAGCCACGTCATCCAGAGTCTCCAACGAATGGTTACGATAGTCACGCGGACCCAAATCAAGTAGTCTGCATCTACCAACATGGCTCAGACCAGAAGTCAGTGACTTCAAGGGGTGATGCCACGTTTTGGTTTGGCCGCCCCTTACTTTCCTCCAACCATCTCCAACACCGGTTAGCATTGCGCGTCCTGGTAATCGATGTTCAGGCATACATAACACGTGGTCCAGTCGTCTCAGTCGGTAAAGATTCACAACCTCATCAACCGATTTACCATTCTTTCCTAATATCCTGTGTCTAACTGACATTCTATTACCTTGATGTGGTGGTCGAGCTTGCCTATCGCGATGAAGCAATCGAGCTATACCGGCTGGAACGATTGTTCCTCAAGGTCCTACCACGCCAGACAGGTCGGATGAAGAAAGGTTAGACTAAAAGCAACAAACCCAAGGTCCGAAGGCGAAGTCGTACTGTTGGCTGTACAGAAGTGCGACGGCAGTAAGATGTTTCCTTCAGGCAACCAGAATAACAGCGATGCTGCCCTCCCACAAGGAGGAGTGGGGTTGCAAAACATCAACCCATCAAAATCCACACCTCACCTTATCCTACGGATATCCGTCTTCTGCGCTAAGGGCTCAACAAGTACGGAGCTAACATGAAGATTACCTACTAAAGGGTCATGTGTGACAGACCTCAAGAAATTGTCCCTTGGGCTCTGTGGTCAGGCTCTCAGGTCACTAAGACCACCTCTAATCCAATTTCCTTTCCACGTACCTCCAGAAGAACCCTTCCATGGTGTGGGCAATTGGGAAGTGATAACCGCCCTCACACCTCAAACAGCACTCAAGACCATTGTATTCATGATCATAAATATATACAGCTAAGTGTCATGAATACGCCTATATATTTTATTTGTTAAAGCATAACCGAATTACAAATCCATTCTTATAAAAATGTAACATTAAACAGAATACATAAAGTAAAATTATCAGTATTGGGTTATGGAAATTGTTGAGTTTTGATTAAGACATGGATGGATTAGTATTTGGTCACCAAAGAAAACCTGGAATCACTAGATGGTCGTTTCGTCCTAGTACGGGACTCCTCAGCAATGCAGATCCACGACATTAACACCGCTGGATGTCAGTTCAGTAGTCTAGATGTTAAGAGTTCATGCGCGAGACTGACAAGTCCTGAATTCGAATCTCGTAACTGGAGTTGTCAATGCGCACGGCTGAAGAGTCTCATACTATGACGAAACGACCATCAAGTGTTTCTAGGTTTTAGTGATGGTCCAACATTGGTCTATAAGTTAGCTCAACCAACATAAAATTAGCCTACAAAATTTTGACCTAGATTCGTCAAAAGAAATAAGAAACTGCCAGATGTTAAGACTTTCACTCTTTTCGTTTCTCTTTTTTTGGAAATAAAATTCTTTTCAATGTAAAGACAATTCAGCTGTAAATATTTCTGCCAAAAAAATTACATCATCGATTTAAATGGACTTATGTTAGATTCTTTTTTTAAATTTATTTTCACAGTTGAAATAATTGCAAATTTTTACATCATTTCAAAAATTCTTCTTTTCGTTTATCGATTGTTACCATGGATAATTTTGTAAGATGTTTGTTATATTTTATAAATCCATGTTAATTTGTAACTTTCGTTGATATTTCACTGATATTAATCAGCATATGCTCACTAGTGACTGCCTTCAAAGAGGTACTTCTTTAGGTTTTCACAAGAAGCAGTGACCAGCAGTGTTCAACTGGATCTGCTGTGTGATATTAACTCAATGAAGACAATGGTGGATGTGTCGCTCAATTTCGTGGATTAATTGAAGCTAAACATTAACATTGCTGGATGCCGGGCAGCTCAATGGTCTGGAGGTTGAGCGTTCGCGCGTGAGACCGATTGGGTCAAGGGTTCGAATCCCGCGAGGCGGGACCGCGAATGTGTACTGCTGAAGAGTCTTATACTAGGACGAAACAGCCATCCAGTGTTTCCAGGTTTTCCATGGTGGTCTAGCTTCAATTGACTCATATTCTTAACTATTGAAATTTCATTGAATTAAATTGAATTTTTCTGGTAAATTGTCTTTACACTGATCAGTATTAATAGTATAATTGATATAGACCAAACATAAAATTTGAAAGACCATGAATGGTGGAATTAATTTTGTATTATATCTAGAGCTTAGATACTTGATATACCGCGTATAACTCCAGCACTCGAATGCTAGAACCTTCCAAGTAGTAAATTAGAAAACAAAAGACAAGTCAAAGAAATGTTATTCCAATCAGTGTCAGATATGGTACAACACTCTGAGGAATTTATAGTTTTTAGTAAAAACGAAATCATCATTATAGTCACACAATCTGCATACAGAGGCTTTAACATCGTCTAATAGGTAAACTACATGTGGAGATTCTAGAATATTCTCCAGCTCTTTCTGAGCTTCTTAGAGCCTCCTTGAGTTCACCCGTGAGCCGTCCTCACAATTTGAAATAAAATCAAAACTTAACTGAGAAAAACATCATTTTTTAAAATAATAAATCTATTTTTTGTTATATCCCAATGAGTAGACGAATTGTATCTCTGATGTTTCATGACTTAATGTAAGCCACTTCTTCAGAGCACATAAATAATCGAATTAAATTAACACAAGTTTAAATAGTACAAAGGAAACGATACATAATATATTTGGTACAATCAAAATCATAATAGGTCTGAATATATCAATGCGCACTGCTGATGAGTCCCATATTCAGACGAAACGGCCGTCCAGTGCTTCCAGGTTTTCCATGGTGGTCTAGCTTCAACTGACTCATGCTTTCAACCAGTGAATGTATTAGTATCAAGTTATTCCTTGTCAAAGTGAATTTGTATGACCTGTAACTGCATTAGTTTGTGTGTCAGAGTGTGGGTATAAAAAATGTATGCTTTTGTAAAATCAAGTAGTGGGGTTGAAATTTGGTGTGAATAAGCGTTTGTAGACTGTGTGGAAAATAAGCAAGGTCAAACAAGGTTGTTTGGATAAAGAGTCTAG